GTAATTATGGTTTTACCCCCTGCCCCAAGATGGGAAAACTAGGCTACAGTCTCATGCATGCTAGGCAAGCACTTGACCACTGAGCTATACCCCCAGTCCTCCTGCTGGGGGTATAGCTCAGTGGTCAAGAATTTTCAAGACATAACTCAGATTTTAGGCATGTGATGGATGAAAAAGTGTTCTTTACAGTCAAAGACAACTAGTGCCATCTTATAAAAGAGATTGAGTAATATATATGAAATATTTATCTAATACAATATTTGTCTGAAGAAGCAATGAAAATGCTTTAAAATAAAATGGTCAGACCTACATACAGTTCTTTCTGAAATCAGATCTGTGCAAAAAAGTGTAATAGAAATCCATATAATGAAATTAAACCCCTATCTCTCACCATGCACAAAACTCAACTCAAAGTGGATCAAGGACCTAGGAATTAAACCAGAGACCCTGCATCTATTAGAAGAAAAAGTAGGCCCAAATCTCTATCATGTCAGATTAGGCCCTGACTTTCTTAAAAAGTCTCCTATAGTGCAAAAATTAAAATCAAGAATCAATAAATGGGACGGATTCAAACTAAAAAGCTTCTTTTCAGCAAAAGAAACAATCAATGAGGTGAAGAGAGAGCCTACATTTTTGGGAACAAATTTTTACCACACACACATCAGATAGAGCACTAATCTCTAGGATATATAAAGAGCTCAAAAATCTTAACACCAAAAAAACCCCCAAAATAATCCAATCAATAAATGGGCCAAGGAACTGAACACACACTTCTCAGAAGAAGATATACAATCAATCAACAACTATATGAAAAAATGTTCAACATCTCTAGCAACTAGAGAAATGCAAATCAAAACTACTCTAAGATTTCATCTCACTCCAGTCAGAATGGCAGCTATTAAGAATACAAACAACAATAAGTGTTGGCAAGGATGTGGGGAAATAGGTACACTCATACATTACTGGTGGGACTGCAAATTGGTACAGCCAATATGGAAAGCAGTATGGAGAATCCTTGGAAAACTGGGAATGGAACCGCCATTTGACCCAGCTATCCCACTCCATGGCTTATACCCAAAGGACTTAAAAACAGCATACTACAGGGACACAGCCACATTAATGTTTATAGTAGCACAATTCACAATAGCTAAACTGTGGAACCAACCTAGATGCCCTTCAGTGGATGAATGGATAAAAAAATGTAGCATATATACACAATGGAATATTATTCAGCATTAAAAGGGAATAAAATTATGGCATTTGCAGGTAAATGGATGGAGTTGGAGAATGTAATGCTAAGTGAAGTTAGTCAATCCCCAAAAACCATGATTTAAGGATGCTGATTCATAATGTCATTGTGGGGGGAAAGCATTGGAAGATTAGATCAACTGTAGATAGGGCAAAGGTGGGGGAGGAAAAGGGAAGGGGCATGGGGGTAGGAAAGACAGTGGAATGAGATGGACATCATTACCCTAAGTACAGGTATGAAGACAGGAATGGTGTGACTCTACTTTGTGTAAAACCAGAGCTATAAAAAATTCTGCTCTATACATGTAAGATGGATTGTAATGCATTCTACTATAATGTATAACAAATTAAAATAAAAAATAAAATTAGAAAAGTATAATTTTTTAATCAGCATACATGATTTAGTAGGACACTATAAATATTCATTGTATAATATTATAACAATTAGAATTTATATCTAATATCCTTCTTAATCTCAAAGTTCTCCTAATTAATATTCATCTTTTTTTTTTTGACCTTCTGTTTACTTACTTTAAACTGTAATTCTGGGCCCTAGATCTCTGGCTGCAGACTTGATTTTTTCTTTCTTAATACCTAGTGCTTGGTTGGATCTCCAAAATTTTATTATTTCTATATGAATATCCCTTTTATTTCTTATGAATCTTTTGGATTCCATCCATCAATTCTTGTTTCCATACTCTGCTTACATATAGCTGGAACTCTTTCCCAGCATTTCATCCTCTCATGTCTCTGGGATCTAGATCCATCTTCCTGTCTTCTCCAGTCAGGCGCAGTGCTGGATGATAGCACTCTATCCAGCTCTGTTGTGATATATAAAATTCTGGACACAGCTGTCTCTGGCTTATACCAATGCCAACTGGTAAAAAATAAGGCCCTCTAAGGTGATACCAACTAGAAACTTCAACTAATAAGAGATGGTTGTATTGTGTACATAATGTGTATCAGGCTTTATCCTAAATACTTTATATTAATCTTCACCCCAAATACCTATAAAATGGATATTGTTATCATTCCATTTTACAATTGAGAAAATGGAGACACAAAATGTTAAAGAAAATTTTCCTAGGTCACACAGCTAAAAAGCATCAGGACTACTCTCTCTCTCTCTCTCTCTATGTTTGTGTGTATATATCTAGAATGAATGTTTGCCCTTTTAAAGCACATGGTCAAATCTTTAATTAAGAGAGGCAAATTTCATAGCCTACTTCTGTTGTTTCCTACCCAAATCAATTATGTCAAGTTCTATAGACATGGACCTCAGAAATATCTAACAAACCCCCCAAGTGACTCCTAACACTTCCATACTTTTGACTGCTTCATTTGGAAGTTAGGCATACCTTTAAATATTGCTTAGTGATTCTTGGAGCACCCTTACTCACCACTGGCCAGTGGGTGTTTAGGGATTGTCATGCTGGGTTATTGATAGGTTATGGAAATAAATCTTCTCAAGTCCCTCAGAGCAACGAGATAGGATCCATCCTACACTGAAAAGGTCTCTAGGGTAGATGGGCCCTCTCCTCAGACGCTGACCTTTCTGCTACCTAAATAACTCACTACTTCTCTGTATCTCATTCTTTTCTCTAAGATGTAGGTCCTTCTTCCAAACTTAATTTTCTAATTACCAATGTGTTTCTTTTTTCCTGAAAACATAAAAACTATGGATTCCACTTAGAAAAAAAAATCACAGACTAAATTCTTCCTTGATTTCTGAAGTCATCCCTCACTTCTCTTTCATGGCTAAATCCTGTGGATCTGGATCCCACTGTTTCAAAATCTCTTATGATTGTAGTTTTCTTCAATTTTCGACATCACAGCCCCTATTCAGGCCTCCGCCTCTCTGAAGGATGATGGAAACGGAGTGATTACTGGTCCCCTTGCCTCTGGTTTCTCCCTGATGAAATTCATCATCCTCCCTGCCACTGGGTTCATCTCAAATCACATCACAGATGCCACTTCACTATCTGCTCGCAGGTTTATCATGTTCTGCCTCCCAGTTCCCAAGGGGTCATATCTGAAGCAAGGTATTGAAATTGCTTCCCACCCCCAACAAATGAGTCCTAACCTGAGCGAACTTCACAGTAATTTGTGAGACATTTTCAGCTTCCTGGACAACTAACTCACCATCCTTTGGACCAGGTCTATGTTGTCTGACCTCCCAACCTGTGGTTATTCTGTTGGCCCTTCTGTGAACGTCCTCAGTCAGTGCACTCAGGAGTCATTCATTCTCCAGGAACAAGGTCACATCCTACCTTAGACATGAAGACTTCTCTGATCTTCCCCCTCCAGAATAAAATTTCCCTGAACAAAAAGCCAACGTCACTTTCCATAACACATTCATAACAGCAACTGAAATTTATTAGACGATCACTAAGGCTAAATTCTTTACATTCATGATTCCCTTTAATCACCAAAACAAAACTATGAAGTTACAACCATTTATTCAGATGAAGGCTTTGAAACTGAGGGAAGGTTAAGCGACTTATCCAGGGTTATACAGTCACTTAGGTTGAAGGGCTTACATTCAGGCTCCCACCAGACAGCTTTAGGAATTCACTACTATAGGGAAAAGTGCATGGAGTGTTGCATACATGGCACACATTAAGGGCATCTGAGTGGCAGGCCACTCCCCTGTGCTAGGCCTGTGAGCAGCAAACCGCTTACCCCATAGGCACAGCCCTGGGCATGGGGCCATGTGTGGCAGTCCCTGCACTTGCTCCATGGCCCACTCCTCGACTGGTCGCTGCAAAGACAGTTAGCAGAAATTGCATCGGTGGTTGCCTATAACCTGTTTAGCTACTGACTGAGTATATATACATGGTAACTGCACAATAAAATCAGACCTGCTTCCTGCTTGGTCTCCGGAGGTCTTGATTAGCAACTCTGTAACCACACTCTCCTTTACCCTGTTCCGTGGACCTCCTCGCTGGATGAGAGAGCCCACAAACACTACACTTTCACTTATCCCTAACCATGTCTGGCACTGTGTGTGGAACATTGTAAGTGGAAGTCTGGATAGGTAGAATAGATAGCTCTACAACAGATTCCAAGGATAATACCCTAGTCAGGGAGAAAGGACTGTCCTTGACACCAGAGAGCAACAGCACTTACCAAGGAGAATAGGAAATAAATACATTTTCTGAAATAGAATCTTCCCATCTTACATAAACAATTAAAATGAAGGAAGTAAATTAATAATAAGTCAGAGATAGCTCTACTATATAATAAAATAAAAGATACCCAGTGAGAGGGGGAATAACCTTCCTTTTCATTTTAGGAAGGTATCATTCTGTCATACTACTTTTCACTGAATTCCAAATATTGGAAGAGCATTAGAGGTCAAATATTCTAATCATGGTATGATTTTGTAAAACTCTATAGTGACCCTGCTAGGGTTCTGCCAGCCAATGCCCTGAACTTGAATACTCCAAATTTATTGTCATGATCTTAATGAATTATGAAAAGCCTTAATTCTTAGTGGGTTTCAGTAACTAAGGGGGCATCTATGAGGCTGAATGTGAAAATTCATATTTTGTGCTCACTGTGAGTTGAACACAGAGAGCAGAGTCAGAAGCCCTCCCTCTGCTGTCTCAAGTAGCTTTGGAGGAAAGACCGGCAGGATGGGCTCTTCCAGTGGCTGCTGAGTGGGACACCTTTGACCTGAGGTCAGGAAAATCTGGCCTGTTGGTCTGTGACCAGCTTACACAGAGGAGAGTGTCCCTTTGAGCTAGTCCTCATCCTTTACCCAGTAGGCTCCCTTGGAAAGCATTCCTCACAGCTGTCTGCACAGCCCGGTTCCTTAGACTATAAACAATAGGATTGAGGAGAGGGGTCACCACGGTATAGGTGACAGCAATAAGCTGATCCCGCTCAAGAGAGTAGCTGGCTTTCGGCCTCAAGTACATGAAAGAGGCGCAGCCGTAGTGAATAATGACCACCGTGAGGTGTGAGGCGCAGGTGGAGAAAGCTTTCTTCCGTCCTTCGGCAGAGGGGATCCTCAGGATGGCTGCCAGGATATAGGCATAGGAGACGGTGAGGAAGAAGAAGGAGGCCAACAGGACCAGCAGGCTGAGCAGGAGGATCCCCAACTCGCTCAGTCCTGTATCTCCACAGGCAAGGCTCAGCACAGGGGGCGTGTCGCAGAAAAAGTGCTGAATCTCATGGGAGCTGCAGAATGACAGGTGGAAAATGACCAGCGTCATTCCCAGCCCAAAGAGGTACCCACTTAGGAAGGAGGCACCAATGAGCTGAGCACAGAGGGTAGGGTGCATGCAGCTGGCATAGTGCAGGGGGGTACAGATGGCCACGTATCTGTCAAAGCCCATGACGGCCAGAAGGAAGCAGTTGCTACAGGCCCATGAGGCGGAGAAGAACATCTGTGCAGCACAGCCCACATAGGAGATGGACTGGCCCCCCACAACCAGGCCAGAGAGCATCCGAGGGATGATGCCCAGAGTGTAGCAGGTCTCAGAGAAAGACAGGAAGGAAAGGAAGAGATACATGGGGGTGTGCAGATGGCTATCCAGCCTGATGACGACAATGATAAAGACATTGCTGGTCAGGGTGACAAGATACAGACAGAGGAATAAGGTAAAGAGTAGGAGTTGCAGTTCACCAAAGCTGGAGAATCCGAGGAAAACAAAGCCCCTCCAGAAAGTCACATTGTGTAGCACCATTCTGAGGGATATTCCTGATCGGCTTGCTGATTGCTTACACCTTGATAGCAGATGCCTAGTTTCATCAAAAGGCAGCTGATATGGATTTGCTTTTCTTTGTGTAACCTGAAAAGAAAGGCCTGATTTAGAATGCAGTCAAGTTTCAGCAAGGTATTTGTTATATTAGGCACAAACATATATGAATCCATTCTTTCATGCATGTATGTACATATGCCTGCAAACAGATACACAGTCATCACAAACATTCATGTGCACACACTTGCACACAAATACATATATGACTACATATGTGTAGGCACATACAAAGCACTCACTCATAATTATGCACATTTTACACATTCAAAAGTATGTGTTATTACATAATGACCATGTTCACAAATACATCAGGCTTTCCATTACATGACAAATGCTTATGTATTTGGGTACATGCAAATATGAAGGTACACGCGCCACATGTATATTCATGTGCCCTTCTTTAGACATACACACACTGCTTATTAAAATGTAGAGGTGAACAGCTTAATGGATATTATCTTATAGATCAGGCAACAAAAGTCAAGAAAGGTGAAGTTAATGAACAGACACTTCACAGAAGAAGAAATACAAATGGTCAGCAAATAAATGAAAAATGGTCAACATCACTAGCAATTAGAGAAATGCAAGTTAAAACTGTACTTTCATTTTATTCCAGTCACAATGGCAATTATCAAGAACACAAGTAACAATGAATGTTGGCAAGGACTCAGGGAATAAGATACACTTATATATTGCTGGTGGGACTGCAAATTGGTGCAAGCACTCTGGAATGCAGTTCTGAGATTCCTCAGAAAACTTGGAATGGAACCACCATTTGATCCAGTTATCCCACTCCTTGGCTTATACCCAACGGATTTAAAATAAGCATGATATAGTGATGCGGTCACATCAATGTTCATAGCAGCTTAATTCACAATAGCTAAGCTAGGGAACAACCTATCCATTCAATAAATGAATGGATAAAGAAAATGTGGAACATATATAGAATGAAATATTAGTTATAAAGAAAAATGAAATTATGGCATTTGTAGGTAAATGGATGGAACTGGATGCTATCATAGTAAGTGAAATAAGCCAATCCCCCAAAACCAAAGGCTGAATGTTCTCTCTGATATGCAGGCGCTAACTCACAATAAACTTGGGGGAGGAAGGGGTGAAGACTCACCAGACTGGACAGCGAGAAACCAGGAGAAGGGAGGGGGATGGGAATGGGAAAGACAGTACAATGATTTGGACATAAATGACTACACAACTAGTGTAACTCCACATCATGTATGACCACCAGAATGGGAAGTCATATTCAATGTATGTATGATATGTCAAAATACATTCTACTGTCATTTATAACTAAATGTATTTATATTATATTCTAAATGTCATTTATAACTAAAAAAAACAAATTAAAAAAAAGATGATGTTAATTTCTTGAAGTCACACAGAATCAAGACTAGTGAACAAGTATGGTTAGTAGCTAACCTAATATTATTCTCCTCTTACAATGATTTCTCTCCTCAGACTCTGTGAGAGCCCAGTACTAATGCAGACTAAGAGATATCTTACTCAACTTAAACATCTGTGTCTCTACAGCCACTGCCATGTCATTTCATCCTTTCTAAATCCCTTGGGCAGAGTAGGGGAGGCTCCTTTTTCATGTTAAGACTATGTGAGTGCTGAAGGAATAATGAGGTCCATTGCTGGTTGTGCATCAAGCATCCCTTAGCCCAAAGACCAGCCATTAGGCTCTGTGCCTCCCTGCCAAAGCATGAGAGAGCTCTGACTAGAGAAGATGCTCCACTCACCAAGGAGGCTCACGGGGAGAGCAAGTCCTACTTTTCGACAGCCATGAGCTAGCCAGCCTCTTCTGAGGTCCATTTCAGAAACACCTATTCTGAGCACAACAATGTCTCCAAATGATACCAGAAAACCTCATTCCACATTTCTAGCCCCAGGTGGTGAACCATATTTGCTTCCATCCAAACAACTTATCTCTCTAAGGATTCCCAGTCCCAATGGGTGCTGTTTCAAGAAACAGGTCTAATTTTGTTTTTTATTATGAGTTAGGAACATCCTTTTGGGGAAAGCAGAAAAGGGAATATGAACAAGGACATGCTAAAAAGATCATGATTAAAGCAACAATTTGTACATCTATTGTGTGCTAAATATTATATTATTTGGACATGATAAACCTCTTAAAACCTAACAACCTAGTGAGCTAGTTACATTTTATAGATGAACAAATTGAGTCCAAAATAGAGTTGAAGCAACCAACCCAAGATCACAGAGCTCAGGATTTGTGTGTTTAGATGCATGCCATAAAAAGTGGAATAAAAACAGGAATTTGCTCTCCCCCTGCTGCAGTCTCCAGATGTTGATATGGTATTTCATGTAGTGTCTGGTTTCAAAGTCATTCTGACGACCATCCTGATCTCTTCCAAGGTCATTTTTCCCCTTATTCTTATCTGTCTACTTTTTTAAGATGATTTTTTCTTAAAAGTAACTTTGTCTTATTTTCATTCTCTTTCCCTTTTTCTTTCTCCTATGCTGCCACGATATCTGCACCCAAATTTCTAATCTACTTTACCCCCTCGGATTGTCTTGAAACCTCAAAACAACCCCTGCAATCGGCCTACATTAATCACTTTGCCTGACTTACCACTATCAAAGGGCGTGTTTCTTCAATATTTGCACCTGCAATCTACATCTCTACTCACTGATTCAACAAGAACAATAAGAATGATTGGTAACATGAATCCATACCAGACATTGACCAACTTCATTATGTGGATTTAACACTCACAGCATTTAGGGATTATCATTTTCTTCATTATTTTAAGACAGATAACTGAGACATAGAAAAATTAAATATCCTATGATAACAAAGCTAATTGGTGACAAGTAGACCCAAGAATTTTTCTCCTAGCTACCATACTATTCCTGGTTTCTTCATCATATACAGAACCAAAATATGAGCAAGATGTGGTCAGGAGTGGAGGCACACACCTATATTCTCAGTAACTTGGGAAGTTGGGACAGCCTGATCTCAAATTCATGCCCAGCCTGGTGGACAACTTGGAAAGACGCTGCTTCAAATTAAAATAAATTAATTAATTAAAAGAAATGGGGAAATATCTTAGTGATAGAGCCCCCTGGGTTCAATCCCCTGTAGTCCCCAACACCAAAAAAAAAAAAAAAAAAAAAAAAGAAAGATAAGTGAGATTCAGAAACAAGTATTAATAGTATTAATACTAGGCTTATACCTATTTTTCTTGCACCATTTTTAGTTGTTGGTCTAGGGATTACAGCATGAACTTTTAGCAAAATCTACTTGAACTTCACTTTTAACATAATCTACTTGAACTTAATATTGAATACTTTCCATCAAAATACAGAAAATTTACAATGGCATAGTCCCATTTATATGAATCTACATATTGTTATATTTTAAAACCATCATATATCACTATAAAGAAATTAAGAAAACATTCTGTGTATGCATATTCTTTTATATTTAACCAACATTTACCATTTTCAGTGCTCTTCTTCATTTTTGTGTATCCAAGGTACCATAGGTTCTAATTTCCTTCAGTTTGAAGGACTGGCTTTATTATCTCTTATAGTGCAGATTTGCTGAAACACAATGTCTACATTTTTATTTATTTGAAAATATCTTCATTTTTTTCTTCAACTGCAAAATATAGTTGGCTTTTTAGGTTTTTAGCTGTAATTTTATTTATTTTTAATTAGTTTTGCTGGAAATAAAAATCTGGTTCAACATGTGTTTTCCTTTCATCTTTTAATATGTCCTTTTCAATGTCTCCATCATCCAAATTTCTGATGCAAATGTTGCCTTGAATGGTATAATTATTCCACTCTATGGTATGTGTCATTTTTCTCTTGCTTCAATAGTTTCTCTTTACTATCACAATTTGACTATAATGTACATGGGCATACCTTATGTTGCTCTCTTATTTCTGGTTTGTTGAATATATTGGATTAATTGTTTAGCATTTTTCACCAAAATGGGATGTTTATAGCTGTTATTTCTTCAAACATTTTTCTCTTTTTTTTCCTTTTTTTCCTTCCTGAAATTTTAATTGTAAAAATATGGACCTTGATGCTGTCTCAAAAAATTAAAATAATTTGTCCATTTCATCTTTGTTTTTCTCTCTAGATTTTTCAGATTATACGATTGTTATTGATTTAGCTTTAAATTCACTTTTCTTTCTTCTATCATATTCAATGTTTTGTTGAGCTCATTTCCTGAAACTTTTAGTTCAGTTATTATACCCCTATATTTTATTTTATTTTATTTTTTGTGGTGCTGAGGATTGAACCCAAGGCCTTGTGCATGCGAGGCAAGCACTCTACCAACTGAGCTATATCCCCAGCCCCACTATAATAACTCTATACCTTTAGATTTTCGATTGGTTCTTTTTTAGAATTTCCATTTCTCTATGGTTATACATCTGTGTACTTTTAAATATTATATTCTTCTTTTATTTCTTGAATATATTTACAATTCCTGATGTGAATACTACAAAACTCAAACTGTGTGTTCACTTGTGATCCCAATTTTTGTAGACTATTTTGCTCTACGCATGGATTGTGCTTTACTATTTTTTTTGTATATAAGTAAACATTTTTGGTTGAAAATTGAACAGTTTGGAATAGAGAATATTGCAGAAACTCTGAAATCTGTTTTCTTTTCTTTTCTTTCTTTAAGGTTGCTCTTCAGTTGTTAATGAACACTCCTGAATTAAACACATCAACTCCTTCTCACCTGCAGTACTGGATATCTGTGATCCAACCATTTGACTTCAAAAAGCTGCTTCTTTTCTTCTGTCTTTACTTTTCAGTCTGGTTTCTTCATCTCCACTGTTCATGCACATCCTAGCTGTCTGTAGGTGTAATGTAGCTGTAAGAAATATTGGTACAGAGTTTACTCTCAGATCTTGAGACTCTTC